TGCCAACCAACCACTTGCCACCTTTTTTTGACTTTTCAAACACCAACATGCATGAGTATTTGACCTCTGACCAAGGTAAGATCACTTAAGATATAGAATAATTTTGTAAAGAAATGCATAAAAATATGTTAAAACAAAAGTAAATCAAACGTTATACTTTCTTGTTAGGGTAAAATCATATTATGTATAGTGGACAAATGCATGTAATTTGATCTCATGTCAAGCATTAAAAAAGTAACATAGAACCCCATGGTCCAAAACTCGATAAAGACAAGCAAGTACATAAAAATCCCCGATTGTAATTAGGTATAGTAATTAGGTCTTGCACAAGTAAAAAGCACATCAAGTGAACTCAAGAAACTAATGTATCTGGCATAAATAAAATTCCTATGATGCATAAAATGTGCGTACAAGCATGTTAAGCAATAACATTATCATCTGTATCATAAGGAGTTTTTGGAAGATTGCATCTAACCAAGAATGTTTAATTTAATTTCCTTTCGCCACTCCTTCTAGTGGAGCTAACCTTAATAAAGGTTAAAAAAAAAAAATCAAATAATCACTGTTGGGACCAATAATACACTCTTTGTCAATTGGAAGACTAAATTGTAGGGTAATATATTTCAATATTACAATTACTTCATCCATGAGAAGGTGAAAGATATAAATTTCTAATCTATGTCTTTTTATTAATGTCACTATAAAGTGATGGTCGACATCAATATTTAAAATTCACTATTCATATAAAGGGTACTCTTTCATGATGCATGTGAAATTGTTTAGTTAATCATACTGTGTGGTGTATTGGACATAGTACTCACTTGATCTCCCCTCACAAATAAACATGTGTGAAAAGAGGTTGGATGACCACTATTTTTGCAAAATATTATAATAGAGTAAATAATATATTATAATAAATATTACAGAATAAATAATATAAAATAATTAATATAATATAATAATAATTTCATAATTAATTATAATACAATAAATATTATATTCTAAATAAAATATTATAATATATATATATACATATATATATATATATATATATATTACACAATAAATATTACATATTTATATCCCAAATATAATATAATATTGTAAATAATTTTTTAATAAATATTACTATACTAAATATTATAAATATTATAGAATAAATAATATAATATAGTAAATAATATTAAAATAAATATGATATCCTAAATAAAATATTATAATATAAATATATATATATATATATATATATGATATCGTAAATAATTTTATAAAAATATTATAGAGTAAAAAATATATTATAATAAATATTATACTAAAATTAATATGAAAATAGTACGTGAAACTAATAATATATATATATATATATATATATATTTTTTTTTTATGTCGAAAATAATTTTAAAAAATATGATAGAGTAAAAGATAAATTACAATAAATATTATACAATAAATAATATGAAAATATTATAAAATAGTACGTGAAACTAAATAATATAGTAAATATTATTATTGTAAAACTAAAAAGAAGAGCTTCATTGTTGAGCGAGAAATAACTTGGATTACCGTATAAGGTCCCTAAATGATCGCTCAATAATAAAGGAGGTAGGGGTACAACGACAATGAGGAGATTTGTCTAGAAATAGCTACTCCTGAAAGAGTGTGTAATAGGTCACTAATCGAGCGCTCTTACGCTGAAGATGAATGAAACTAAACGATCTATCAAAGTTGTGGGATGTCAAAATAAATCGACAAAGGAGTTTATGCCTTTAAGGAAAAGACATGCATGAGCAATGCTGGATAAAAAGAAAATGATAATATTAATATTGTAACTAGTCTTACTGTGATCGATTTAATTGGTATTTTATTTTATGGTTCATATTTCAAATTAGGCTTATCTCTATTGTATTCTAAGTGTGGAATCATGGCTGACTTGTGAAATCAAACTGTAACTTATTAACCAAAACAATTAAATTGTGCTTGGAAAAAGTTACGGATGTAAAGGAGATTATTTGAAAATGAAGGAGAAGACAATTAAAGACGTGATAAGAAAGGCAAGATTAAAAAGATGAGACCTAGGAATTGTTTATATAGACTAGCTTCCTCCTTGCATTCAATTCACATTTATTTCACTTGTAACACTCAATTGTACTCGATAAGATATCCAATATTGGATTACACAAAAGTCAAAGTAGCTAGCTCGACTTTACTTGGAAGTCATCAAAAGTAAGATGATTTGACCTTTGATTTTGACACAACTTCATACCAAAGTCGCTTGAGATGACACGACTCCACAGTGGAAGATCCATCATGTTACATTCTTTAAGAGTTTTTTTTGTCCTTTAAGTCATTTGTTAAATGATTCAATTATTGCAAACATGTCATTTAAGTTGACTAGACATTCTTAACTTAAAGATATCATAGAACTTTATTTACAACTATTGCACAAGAAGAAAATAAAAAATTATTTCCATTAGCATTTATAATAGTTAAAGAGGAAACAAAGGATACTTTTGTTTAGTTTTTTCAATTGGTGAAACAATATGTTGCACCTCAACAAAACTTGTGTATCACAATAAATAGGGTACAACAATATCAACACCATTACAGTCTCAAGAGGTTTGATAAACACAAATTAGTTAATATATTGCATTCAACATATAACTTCAACAAAAATTCAACAATGTCCTGTTAAAAAGACAAATAATTAATATGGGTAAAAGTTAGTTTCTTTACTTTTTATTTTCATCATTAATATTTTGTATTTAATAACTTTTTGGGCTATTTTTTTTTCAGCATATGAGATTAGAGTTTCAATAAGTTGCTTCTTGGTTGGATTAAATTCCACTAGAAAAATGGGCATAAACATATGATAAAGGAGAAAGATATAAATATATGACCATCAATCTATTATAGTGCATGAACTTTGCTTTAAAAGGAGGACGGACCATACTAATGTGTCATAGTCAAAACCACCTTTAAAAGAATAAAACCATGATTTATTAGACGTGACATGAAAATAGAGGTCATATTACGAGCATGACATGAGTATCCAAAAAAAATTGTTGTCTTGCTCATAAAACACTAACAATGAGTTGACATGTGTTATGTGCAAATATAGAGTAAAAAACATGGTAAATTTGAAGTACAAGAATTGTTAAACCCACGATTTGGTGAATGAGCACAAAGGTATTCAAATTCAAACAAATTACATGAGTGGTGGTGTGATTGCGGAGAATTTCAAACTCTCTAACTACCTTACTCACATATTTTAGTTGTGTATTCCTCCTGTCATTTACAAATTAGTCCATATATCAATCTAATATATAAGCTAGAGTGGATTTTCAAAATTTATGACCATAAATTTTATCTAATATAAAATAAAGATTAATAATATATTTATACTTGGTCCACAACAAATAAAAATTTAGATAATGCAACTTATTTAATTAAAATTTATATCTCCTTTTTCGGGTAAAAGTAATTATTGTACTCATTATTTTTAAAATCAAAAGACAATTAATATATTCAATTATTATTTTTAAGCTTAATATAATAATATATAGTAAGATTAAATAACTCATTAATAACATAAATAAATATAATATTATAATTTTATAATATTAAAAACCTATAAAAATTATAGGTTGTTAATATTGAAAGCACATAAAAAAATTAAGCCTAAGTTTCAACTACACGTTTATATTTGGATTAAAATAGAAAATAAAAAAATACCTAAGTTGATCTATTATTTTATGAGGAAATGGAAAAATAATATAACCATATTATTATTATTATTATTATTATTATTTGTTAAACACGTGATCTACTCTTTGTGCGTGCAAGAAATTCTCAATTTTATGGATACACTAAAAACTTAGTGTTAAAAATTATTGATTTGGTATGTGAATGTTTGTATTCTTAATTTGATCTCTCTCTTTATATATATATATATATATACATATATATATATATATATATATATATATATATGTAATATTATTTAATTTGATCCATATACATATTAAATATTTTTAATTTGACGGCTTACTTATATACACTAAATTAAGAACTTGTTATACACGGAGGAATCACATTAAGAATTCATTACATGTATAATATCAAATTGTAACTAAGTAATGATGAAAGAGATAAAATTAATAATGTTTTATAGATTTTAAAATCAATTCGATTTAATTAGTCTTGATGTGTAGAGACAAAATTAAGAATTCACTACATATACAAGGCCAAATTATATTTTTAATCTAGGGTTTTAATTAACTTTTTGTGATTTTTTTTTATCAATTTTTCAATCCATTGAATGATTCTGAAGATCAAATTCGTAGTGATTCACCAAAATTTTGATTAATCAAAGCATCGTATCCAATTTTAAAAACATAAGTCAACCTTATTAGAAGGACATATTCATATTTTTTTATACAAATTCTAGGCTAATATACAGTTTTATTTCCATACGTTTTTTTTTTCAATCTGCAACTTTTGCTCCCTTGTTTTAAAATAGAGATATTTAGTTCCCTACTTTTTTTTAAATTAATAATTTTAGTTTAACTATATTAATTAAACCATTGACAGTTAAAATACTGATATAATTTATTTATGACACACTTTAGCAGAGTGATAATAAAAATGATTTTTTTACTTAACGCAGTTGCATCATTTTTTTGTGTGACCGTAAATCAATCAAAATAGTACGAGAAAATTCGTTTGAGTGTGTGAGATGTAAGAATCATTAACATCTCTCACCAGTGAATAGAATTGATGCACTGCTAAATAAATTATATAATTTGGAGGAATTAACAAGCACAGTTCTTTCTGCATTGACAAAATGGAAAGAAATAAATATAAATAAAAAATCTCATATTTTCAACCCAAAACCCTAAACCCCATCCATCAAATCATGTTATGTGAGTATTTGTCTACTTAGAACCAAGGAGAGTTATAATACCAAAAGAGATAATTTTTCAGTGAAGAAGAAGTTTCCAATGATTGTCACTCGTTCTGCTTTGATGCTTCATCTCCAAAACCCACCAATTCGCTACCACTTCTTCTCCCACTTTCTCAAACCCACCTTCCCTTCTCTGTTCAAACCTCGTCCTTTCTCTCTAAACACTCCACGCCAAGCACAGACTAGGCCGTTTGTAAGCGCTGTTGCATCATCATCGTCATCTTCATCTTCATCATCACAAGGTTCTAATGGGAGAGACACTTTCTTTGCACAAGAAAACGTTTCGTGGACTTCACTCGGTCTCTCTGATACCATTTCTCGAGCGCTCTCTGACATTGGCCTCAATAGACCCTCTCTCGTTCAGGTCCCTTTTCTTCTTTTCCACCTTCGTTTATTCATTTTCGCTTGTTTCCACGTTGCCCCTTTTGTCCATTCATGCTCCCTTCGTGGTTTTGTAGGAAATTGAATGACCCCATTTGCTAAAAAAATTATCTTGTTTGTTGTGTTTATACTCACCATGTGAAAAGATCAGGAAAAAAAAATCCAAAACAGAATAAATTTGGAAGCTAGACCAAGGGTTTGGAAGTGTAGCTGGTAACTTGTTTTTGTTTTCATTTTTTTTTATCTGGACAAGATTCAATTGCAATTATTTAGGTGTTTTGTCTGTAATCCAACCAGGCTCACGGTTAAAAGGTTGGCATAGGTTACTGAGAACTTCGATTCTGATCGGAGAAGAACACTAAAAACACTATTCTATGTTTTGTCCATTTTTTCGGGGGGTGCTGGGGCTTATGATGTATACATCATCGATTTTTGTTCAGGCTTCTTCGGTACCATCTGTGCTGTCAGGGAAGGATGTTATTATTGCAGCGGAGACTGGGAGTGGTAAGACATACAGTTACCTAGTTCCTCTAATTGATAAGCTAAGGGATGCCCAGGAACAATCTCTACATGCTGTGTCTCATCAAGAAGTGACCTCCCCACAGAAAGTTCTGCTCATCCTTTGTCCGAATGTGCAACTTTGTGAGCAGGTAGTTAGGATGGCTAACAGTTTATGTAGAGATGATGGTGAGGCGATAGTCAGTGTGGCAGCCATTTGTGGCAGACAGGTACTGATTGTGAAATATTCCTAGTTCTATGGAATTTATAGTCCTCTCTTCTTGAATTTTCAATACTAAGAATAATTTTGACCAGGGATGGCCAATTCGGGAGCCTGATGTCATTGTGACAACACCTGCTGCCCTTCTGAATTATGTTGACCTTGATAGAACGCGCCGCATGGAATTTATGCGTGGTGTTAAATATGTGGTATGTTTCAGATCTTGTGTAGCTATGTTAGTGTAAAAGATATGTCAATTAAAATTTGATACTTATTGCATGTGTGGTTATATTTCTAACTGTCAGGTTTTTGATGAAGCTGACATGCTTCTCTGTGGGAGCTTCCAGAATAAAGTAATCCGCCTGATAAACTTGCTCCGCTTTGATGAAAAAGTCTTGTCTCGATCCAAAAAATCAGTAGCAGAGTTTTCAATGAAACAGGAATATTCCTTGTCATCAGAAGATGCTTTTGAAGGTGAAGGGGAACTTCTAACTGAAGCCACCTTAGAAGAGGACGAAATTGTTGATATTAATAATGAAGATGAATCTGTCAAGCAAAGAGACTGGAGAAGAGTGAGGAAATATTATGAGCGTAGTAAACAGTATGTTTTTGTTGCTGCTACACTTCCAGTGAATGGAAAGAAGACAGCTGGAGGGATATTGAAATATATGTTTCCTGATGCTGAGTGGGTTTGTGGAAACTATCTGCATTGTCACAATCCGAGGTTCATTTTTTTTCATCTTATTATCAATAATGGTGTCTCAGCTTTTGATCATTGTTACTCAGCTGCTCCTGGTGAAACAATGACATGTATTTTTCAAGAATTAGAGTAGGAAAATGCTTAAATGTTTTATTGATTCCTTTCAAGTTAAAAGGAACGTATGCAGAGAAAAATATAACTTAAGACTACTATAATCAGAAATGGTAGGACAATTTTCATCAAATCTAGTTTACTGTCCTTTGGAATATTGAGATGAATGCCTAGGAAGTATGATCATTGGCATACCTTCACAGGTAGTCCCGGTTTAGGTCAATTGAAAAGAAGTAGACAATGAAGACATATTTCAGACATTTTAACTTGTATAACGTGTAAAACAAATGGGTTTATTATTTCATAGCAAGAACCTTTTGGGCTTTAAATGAATGAGTCGCATTCCCACTTTACTTTTGGCTGAAATTCTATTTTGTTTTGAATAATAACTGAATAATCCGTCATGAATGCACTGATACCATACCAAAGACCAATTCTTCATATGTTTAAGTTGTTTGCTCGAGGCCAATAAGTAGTTTTATATTTCCATTGAGTATTAGTGTATGACAGGAAGATTGAAGTGACTCCAGTTAAGTGACAGGGAAAAATTTAGTTGGAAAAGGGTTACTGGAAAATGCAGTATTAGCCAGGCCCATGCACTAAAAAGGGTGGAGAAAATTTAACAGCTCTGGTTAGACTTGTGTGGAAACAGACTGCAACTTAGGTTCTTATCCCTGCCAACCTTGATTCAAAAAGGCTATTTTCCCCATTTCTAAATTCTCTGCTTGGATTAGTTACTTGTCTATCATAGAGAAATAAAAGGATGCCCTTTTGATTAGCATTTGAGAGATTATGAAATCATTAATTTATCCTCCTTTGTAGAGCATAATACATGGCTTCACAAGCTGAGTTTTTTTGCCATTCTTTGTTGAAATTCCTATGAAGTTATGCTCAGCATCTTTTGAACTCTAGCTATTGTGAGATCCAACCAATCCTTTGGCCATGTTATTCCTTTTTAAAATTTAATGTTATTGTTTTCAATTTTCAGATTGGAGCAAAAATGGATAGAAGTTACTGTTGATACTCAAGTGGATGAACTCATAAAGGCTGTGAATCACAGTTTCAGATCCGAAGATTTGCTTAATGCTGGTGGCATTCACAGAACAATGGTGTTTGCCAACACTGTTGAGGCTGTAGAAGCTGTGGCAAAGATATTAATCCGATCTGGGATTGAATGTTCTCGTTATCATAAGAATTGCACATTGGAAGAGCGAGCACAGACATTAGTTGATTTTCATGACAAAGGTGGTGTTCTTGTATGTACTGATGCTGCTGCTCGTGGTGTTGATATTCCAAATGTTTTACATGTTATTCAGGTATAGTTCACCTATTACTCAAATATAGTAGTTTCAAGCTTCAATTATTCTATTTTGTGATAACAAAATTTGTTTGTCTTCGGTCTCAAAACAAACAAAATAAAGAAGTTTCCATTAGATATTAATTACGGCGTGTTGGCCAAATGAATTCGTTACTATACATGTTGAATTTAGAAAGACAATGCACGTAAACATTAGCATTCTTAAGTTTTTCATCCAATTAATACTACACCATTCCACGAGTGGGAGTTTGTTTTGAATATATATCACCTGTTGTGTTACGATTCACTTACAAGTTGCAAGGTGTGGGTCTTGACTCCCACATTGGAAGTATGGGATTCCACTGCGCTACCCAGTGCGTAACTTTGTCTCCCCTACTCCTCTTCTGGTTATGGCATTACCAATCACGGTGTGGGGTTTGGCGTTTTGGTGTTATGGATGGTATCAAAGTTAAGCAGCATGTCTCTCAGCTGCAAATGAACAACGTATTGATGCAGCATTGCAGTGTTTGTTGGGACTAGTCAAAGGGTTAGCACTCAGTCAGCCCATGGTGGCTCTGGGGCTGTGAGTTCTGATGAGATTTTAGGATCAAATTGTAAGATATGGGTCTTGAGACGAGCATTGGAAGTGTGGGATTCTAGTTTGGGGTTTATAAGAAATTGAGGTCTCCAATTGCAATATCTAGCTTTGTGGTGTGGTTCTGGTAAGGCTCTTATCAAGTTGCTTTCTTAAAATAACACTAACCAATGTCTCTTTTTTTGAGAATTAAAATTGTTAGGAAGTATCTTCTATTTAGGGAAAATGTCTCATACTTAGAATTGTATTTCTCTGCTAATTCTCGATATCTTTGGAATATGATTTGGTTTGATGATTTGAATGTTATTTGATAAGGGTTTCCTTGTTTTGTATAATTGGACAATGTAACTGATATCATCTGAATATAAATTCATCTGCAGAGGATCCTTAATTCCTCAAGTAATCCAAGTAATCTGTCTCCAGTAAATTATGCACGGTTATAACAGCCTACCTTCTTCTGACTTGTGAGACTAGAATAGAGGTATAAGGTTTATACTGGAAATTGTAATTCTGTATGCTAGTAATTTAATGGTTTAGTTGATTGTCATCTGTCGATAACTTTGAGAAGAAAGGAAGATTATTGTGATGAAATGATGGCAGAGTGAGAAGATGTAATAATGACACACTAAAGGCAGTAACAGAGTTAATGGATCTATCCTATTCTTTAAAAGTCAAACTCCTTTAGGAAGCAAAAAAGTGTGAGCCACATTAAATAAGATGACTTGGTGAGAAATTTCGTTGAGTTTTGAACTTTTGGTTGGGAACGAATTGATGCATTCTGGGGATGAAATTTTTATACGACTTAAGTGCTTTTAAATTTGTACAACTAATCAAGTGTAGCCTGAAAAATTGAATTATCCTCCCTGCTTGTTTTCTCTACTCACTTATCAGAGTTACTTTATTTAATATTGGACTCTGAATCCTTACATTACCATGCATGCACCTTTCTCCTTTATTTCCATCTTACGAACTCTGATTCTACTATTATGAAATGCAGATCTTTTTACTGTATGGCTGCATTTTTTGTGTTTCATTATTGTATGTAGATGCTCATTTGCAATGTGGTTCATGTATTTCAGGCAGATTTTGCTACTTCTGCTGTAGACTTTTTGCATAGAGTTGGTCGTACAGCTAGAGCTGGTCAAATTGGACTTGTTACTAGCATGTACACCGAATCCAATAGGGAACTTGTTGATGCAGTTCGTTGGGCAGAGGAACGTGGTCAACCTGTGGTAAATTTTTAAGCATTATTTAATATTTTTTTGGCCTTACTATTGGACAACCTACCAATTGAGATTGTTTTACAGTTGATTGTAAAATTGGGTCTTTAGGTTTACAATTGATGCTGGTCATGTATGATGATGGCGTTAACTAAGGACTTTAATATTTTCACACATTATTCGAACACTATAAATCATTGATGAATTCCAATATTTGTGAGTAATATAGTTGCCATTTTACCACAGGAAACTGCATTTAGCAGGAAAAGAAGCTTCCGCAACAAGCTCAAGAAAAGGGGTAGGTTTTAACACTTAGTCCTACAAAGTTTTAAAACAAACTATATATGAATATGTATACCCTGAATATAGATGATCAGTGAATATGTTATGTGTAACAGAAAATACGTTTGAATCTTGTTCCAATTGTTATTTTGTATTTGTAACAGGTATTAAAGTGAGAGATTCAGCAACTATTAAAGAGAGTGCTTTAGCATCAGAATACTAGATTATACTAAGTATGGAAAGCAGTATGCGCCAATGGCAAGCCATTGCATTTAAAATGTATTAGCTCTTACCCTAATGACTGAGTATGTCACGCATTTGACGGATCCTGCCATTTCTTGAGGACTACGTAATTTCCATGAAGCCGTCTTTCATACCAGAGTTAAAATTAATGCAGACAACTATTTTTGACAAGTCTTTTGTGGGGTTTAATGAGGAATGTCATATCCAAACGTAGTTTCTGGAATCACATTTTCCCATAATGTTTAATGTATCTGAAGTATGGAAAATATCCAATAGTGTGTCTGCATTTGTTCTAGTTCCTAGCAAAGTTCATGATTGTGGGAAACGTTTGCAGGGGCAGTTGCTTAGCCTGCTTCCTATCATTTTTTGTTTTTCATGTAAATTATAAGCGATTGCATTGTTCTCAATCAAATACGATTGCTTATCAGGACCTATCAAATACAATTTTACATCCCCATATTTGTTTGTTTGCATACATTTCTGATGGTTATTTTTTAATAGATTCAGTTAAATTTTGTGGAACAATTGAAATGACCACATATTCTATGTTTTGGAGGGTTGAAGCTTCGATGTCTTAGAAATTGAAGATTGAGTGCTAAATTATTATAATGATTCCTATGTCATATTTTATTAGAATAATTTATCTTTTATTAAATAAAACTAATTAATTATTTAGTCACTATTTATTTCATTTAAAATAATTACTTATTCTCCTTTATTAAATAAAAATAATTAATTATTTATCAAAAATATAAATCAGTAATCACTCAAGTAATATCCACTTTATTTAAAATAATTATTCAATGTATAAAAATAAATCAAATTCCTTGACATCATTAAATTAACTTTTTTAAAATAATAATACATATATTTTATTTTAAAAATATATAAAATCAAAATTAATATAATTAAATAAAATAACATACTAAAAAAATATAGACGCACGTCTACATAAATGGATTTTTCTATAAATTTCTTTTAAGATATAACAATATACAAACTTAATTTCCTTTTATAAATAAAAATGAGCTTATATATGAATTTGCGTATAATTTTTTTATATAGTTTTGCTAAATTTTTTATTTTATTATATATATAAAATAAATACCACGACTTCGATATTTTTCAATAAAATTATCGTGCAATAAGTCAATAAAACTTAAAGTATTTCTCTTTCCCCTTCAAATTTATTTATTACCATACCTGAGTGAATATGATCTCCACCAGACAAACGTAATGCTTTGGCTAATATACGAAAGTGCATACCATGATTCTTTTGTCTGTCAATAATTGTGTGCATTGCATGATGTATACGAAGGAGTAGACCATTATCCGACAATCGTGAGTCAAACTAGTATTTGAAGTGAATCCCCCTATTAAATAATCATGCATTACGATAGGAATGCCTAATTCTCTGGCAAATACAACTTTTTTTATCATTTTTTTGCATGTAACCGTAGTTTCATTCAAGTAATGCCCTTTGATTTCACCTGTTTCAGTCTGTGCTTTATAAATCGCTTTAGCACAAAATAAGAAATTGTCTCTCCAACGCATAAATGGTTGAGAATTCACATTTCATCATCTTTGGTAAAATCAATTCCCCCATGAAGACATTCATAAACTGTTTTACCATAATTCTTAGCGGATAACCCCAATTTAGGTTTAATAGTACATCCTAATAAGGGATGACCATACTTGTTCAATTTATCTCTCTCAACTTGGATGCCATGAGGCGGACCTTGGAAAGTTTTAATATAAAAAGTTGGGATTCGCAAATCCTTCAGACATAGAGCACGCAGTGCCTTGAACCCAAATACATTACCTACAATAGAAGTAAAACATGTTAGTAATAGAACTTTCTTCAAAAAGGTTCAAGGGATAAACTACGTAAGCAATATATTGATATTCTTCCCCAACAACAGGCTCGATGTGATAACATCGTCCTTTGTACCGATCAAGACTGGTAAGTCCATCGGTCCATACAGTTGTCTATGTACCAGTCAAAGATTCAGCTGCTACTGTGACACCTCTTCTTTACATGGAATTCTAGATTGAGGAGTTACTCAAAATGTTGTCAAGATATTAGTATCTTTGGTTTCATAGTTACGAGTATAATAAGTCAATTTATAATCTTTAACCCCAGCTTTGAACCCAACACTTGCTTTAGTCTCAGTTTGTGGTGACATAAATCCCTCTTTAAAACCATGAATTAAGAATTCTTGAAACAATAACATCTACTAAACATGACTTAGGAATTAATGAAATCTTTTACAATAATCAACTAATATTATCAATTAATCTCAAATGTTCGATACTTTTAAATAAAATGATGGTATTTGATTTGTCAAATACATCATTATTATATACTCTTTTTATGTATGTCGCAACCCAATTTTTGTTTTTTGTTTTTTTTTTTTCAAATTAGAATCTCCTATCCTTATAGTGATATATGTTGTATATGTAATGTTGGAAAAACAATAATAATAATAATAATAATAATAATAATAATAATAATAATCTTGATTTTGATTCTAACGATCAAACATAAACATAATCACATACCTGATAAACATGCTCTGAACCTGAATGCGAAAGCGTACCTGAATGCGAAAACGTACCTGAATTAGCCATAACGATGATGTCTTTGTAGAACACTATATTGATCTTATGGTCTTCCACCTGAAGAGCACCTGTATTTCCCTCTTGATTTTCTCTCTTGATGGGGATAGAAAGAAAGGAACGAGACTGATTCTGTGTGTGTGCTCCCAGAAGGGGACCATGACCCTTTAGATAACCAGAATTAGGTTAATTACTTAAGTTTTAGTATTTCCAATTTAACCCCTCATCAAATTAGAAATTGCTCTATGGTCTCTACACAATTTTATTTTCATGACATATGCCTTTAGCCAAAACTTTAATTTAGTCAGATCACTTTATTATTTGGCTTAATAAATAATGACCCTAACACATTTAAATATGTATCATATATATACATGACCCAAAATTTGCCAACAATCTCCCACTGGTCACAAATATATATGTCTTTACAACCTTACAAATGTGTTAGACTTTATGAGCTCAAAATTGTCATTATATTCCTTTAGCATATTCCAAAAGTCATGTCCATTAATCATATCAGGATATAGAACCAAACCAGCTTTTCATTGCATCATCGCAACTAAACCAACAAGATTACTCATCCTGACATAACCAAATGACATGGATTCATCATGAAATGTGTAGCATGAAAAATTACGTGAAGGTGATCTGTGCATGTCTATTTTCAACTGGTCCAAACTTTAACTTATCGAGATCGATACAATAACCTTAATGTACAAAGTGTAATGAATGAACAAGAAAACCGCATATCTATAGATAACCAAATATGTCCAAAAAACAATGTATACATATATAAAATTAAACATAGAACATAAAATATATGAAAATGACTAACTCCCACTAAACCACAAATTCCTCAAACTGTAAAACACCCATGTGAGCAACATGCTCATGAAAGACCTTGGGCGAAAGTCCTTTAGTTAGAGAATATGCTATCATGGAGTTTGTCCTTAAGTGTTCTATGGAAATCTATCCACTTTGTACTCTTTCCTTAACAATACAGCTGATTTATTGTCACAATATAACTTAAGTGGTCTTTCAATGCCTTTCACAATTTGCAACCCTGTGACAAAATTTCTCAGCCATATTCCATGATTTGATGCCTCATAGCATGCTACAAATTCTTGACATCCTGCAAAATATGAGTCAGAAAATCCAGCGATCTCCAACTGGTCTGACCTCCTATATGTGAGCATATAATCTTTTATTCTCTTTAAATATCTTATGACCCTTTTTGCTGTTTTTCAATGGTCTATTCCTGGATTGCTTAAATATCTGCCTAGAACCCCAACTATGTATGCTATGTCTAGACGCGTACATACTTTGGCATACATCAAACTCCCTACAGCTGATGCATAGAGAATCTTTTGCATTTCCTCAATTTCCAAATTCCCCTTTGGGCACTGATTGAGACTAAACTTGTCTCCCTTTAAACTTGTGATACACACAATCATCAATAATATTCATCTTGAAGTCAAATGAGTTTCATACCTTCTGGTAATGGGACAAGTTCCCAATAACCTTATTATCTTGCATGGACTTATATTTCTCATTCATTGCTTCAATCCACTTTTGAGAGTTAGAACCTTGTATAGCTTGACGGAAGTTAACTGGGTCATCTTCCATTATATCATTATTTTCCTCATGTTCCTGAAGAAATACCATGTAATCATCCGAAATAGCACTTCTTCTTTCTCTAGTGGATCTCTGCAAAGTTATTAGCTCATAATACACAGGTTCTTGAGGATCTTGAGTTTGTTCTTCATGAACAATCAAATCATCTTGAGTGAGGGGTTCATCAACAATGTCTTATGGAGGTTCCGAACTTACTTTATCAAAAGTAACTATTTGAATCGGTTCTGGAATTGTTACCGATTCTTCCTCCAAGACAAAGTTCCTGATTTTATTCTTCCCCCCAAACTCAATATCCTCAAAGAACGTAGCAGTTCCCGTCTCAAAAATTGTCTTTAATGTGGGATCATAAAATTTATATCCCCTGGATCTTTCAGCATAACCAATAAAATAACTACTTACTGTTCAGGAGTCCAATTTCTTTTCATTTGGCTTATAAGGCCTTGCCTCAGCTGGACAATCCCACACATGGAAATGCTTCAGACTAGGCTGTCGTCCAGTCCAAAGCTCATAAGATGTTTTGGTAGCTGCTTTAGTTGGTACTCTGTTTAGAATATAAGCTGTCATATTTAGTGTCTCTCCCCAAAGTGATTCTAGTAAGGTGGAATGACAAATCATACTCTCTACCATATCTTTAAGAGTGTAACACAAGCCCAAACGTCACAATTTGATGTTACCTGAGCACTTGTGCCATGATACACTTGAGTGAGTATTTTCAATTTTACGTTTAGTACCACATGATTCTGTATTAAGGGTTTCATTATAGGTGGCCACAATATCAAGTAAATATTGATTATCATAAATCAAAAGTGAACCAGTTCCAACAATATCTTAATTAAAAGACAAACTGAACTTATTGTTTCCAAATGAACACAAATAACCTAATTTTTCCAAATAAGAAACTGAAACCAAATTCCGTCTAAATGACGGCATAACAAAAGTGTCTTTCAAATCCAAATAAAAAATTAGTACTTAATAACAATTTAAAATGCCCTATAGCTTCCACCTCTACCGATTTGTCATCTCCAACATAAATCCATCTTTCAGAATCAATTGGCTTCCGGTAGTTTAGGCAACCCTTTCTTTTCACGCCAAACATGATATTTAGCACATTTCTTCTTTACGTGTCCAGTCTTATTGCAAAAGAAACATTTATTTTCTTGAGTTTGTTTCTTTTGTTCTAGACCCTTAGCACCTTCTGACAGTTGTAAGATACCTTCAATTGATTAAACGTTGCAGGAAGAGAAATCAACACCAAATGAATGAGCAAGTCTTCTGAGAGTTCAAGCTTTAGTGCCTTGAGTTTAAAAACAATATTAGACATGCTCATAATGTACTCCCTGATATTTCCTTTGCCTTGATATTTCATGGAGATCAAGTTCTGAAGAAGAGTGCTTGCCTCCACCTTATCGTTTTTTGCAAAGCGCTGCTCAATTTCAGCAAGGAATTCTTTGGCACTTGTGATGTTTTCAGAAACAGTGCCCCTAAACACCTCCGGGATGCCACGCTTAATGATCATTAGACTCATGCGATTTGAGCGATCCCACTTCTCATAATCTCTTTCCTGTTCAGAGGTACTTGAATCCGTAGGAGTAGGGGGTTGCTCAGTCCTTAACGCAAGATCCATATCCATGCAACCAAGAACAATATCAATGTTCTCTTTCCAGTCCTTAAAATTTGTTCCATTGAGGACCGGAACGAATTTAAATTGGTAGATACGAAACAATTGTAGCTGAATTTAGAACACGAGAAATAAACTAATTATGCTCACATTATATAAAAAATAAATAATATATATTCAAATAGTGGTTTAACCCATCTCAAGACACCCAATGCACCATCAATATCAAGTCTTTGGACGAGTAATATTAACTGCTAGAGGTATCTTGTTGTAATAATCAAACATTGACAATAAAGCACGTCCAACAACAAACCAGTCTTTGGATTGATTTATCATCGACAAAGCAAATCCTTATAATTATCACATGTTTATCATTACAAGTGTATATGCAATTCGGCCAAATATTAATCTTCCTTTGGGCCGACTAATACTCGCATGAATATACACAAACACTAACATTCAATATTTTTTATGAACTGCCCAATTCAAGAGAAGTTACTTTGGTGACTTCTTGACTCAATTTGCTCACAAAAAATATTAAACTACCAAAAATTGAATATTTTATTTATATAACAAAACCAAATATTTAATATTTGCAAACTAATTCAAAAGAGAATAATCTCATTAGAATTCTACTAAGGATGAACACCTCCCTAAAATCTCATTAGGGATGAACACCTCATTTGAATAAATCAAAGGATGAAAAAAGGTCTCATTTTCCACCAATACATAAAGGATGAACATCTCCCTAAAATCACACTAGGGATGAAACAAAGATAGTTATGAGTCTCTTTAGCATACTGCTCTAAACCCTAAAAGGGGATTGAACAGTAATCACTCAAACCCTAATTTAACATCAAATTTTCCTAAAAATAAGAACAGTCACACATGTGGAAACATTCACCATTTACCTAATATTCTCTGTGTTGGGAACTCCACAAACACCACCCCTAATTCCAAACCCATAAAATTAAATAAAAACAAAAGATTCAAAAAAGAACAAAGAACCCAATACAAGAAAGATTGAAATTTGAAACATTGTTTCTTTCTCAGTAAAACTTGAAACTTAAACCGAAATAAAAGGGAAAACCGAAGAAGAAGAAGAATCCATAGCTTCCTCCACGATTCCATCAGCAAGCAGAATCAGATTGAGGATATTACCCCCAAATTTAAATTTTAGGGTTTACGAAAATTAGAGATTATTCTCCACTTAGGGTTCATAAAATTGGGTAATTTGAATTGTTTAAAACAAAATTAATCATAATTTTCATAATTAGGATTCTATAAATTAAACAGACATGAATCAAATATGGGCGGCTCTGATACCAATTGTTGGAAAAACAATAATAATAATAATAATAATCCTGATTTTGATTCTAACGATCAAACATAAACATAATCCCATACTGATAAACATGCTGTAAACTGAATGTGAAAGCGTACCTGAATGCGAAAACGTACCTGAATTAGCCATAACGATGATGTCTTTGTAGAACACTATATTGATCTTATGGTCTTCCACCTGAAGAGCACCTGTATTTCCCTCTTGATTTTCTCTCTTGATGGGGATAGAAAGAAAGGAACGGGACTGATTCTGTGTGTGTGCTCCCAGAAGGGGACCATGACCCTTTAGATAACCAGAATTAGGTTAATTACTTAAGTTTTAGTATTTCCAATTTGGCCCCTCGTCAAATTAGAAAATGCTCTATGGTCTCTACACAATTTTATTTTCATGACATATGCATTTAGCCAAAACTTTAATTTAGTCAAATCACTTTATTATTTGGCTTAATAAATAATGACCCTAACACATTTAAATATGTATCAGATATATACATGACCCAAAATTTGCCAACATGTAAATCTTATATGTAAAAATAGGAAAATTTATCCCAACAAAGAAAAAAGAAGTAAAAAAAAAAATAGTATAAAAAATTATCTACTGATGAAATACAAAAGCCAATGAAAAAAAATGAATTATAAATTAAGGTGCATGTTCAATCTAGATGATATTATCTAGAATGATAGAAAAAAAAAGACTTTGAAAGATTTTATCTAATTTCAATTTTCAAAATAACCAGAGTAAGCTTAAGAATTCAATAATTGAAATTGAATAAGTAAACAATTCGAATGGATTGGTTGAATAGTAACAAAAAAATAGAGTACTAACTTTCATTTTTTATGTATTATTGAATTAACCGATCAACTTGCTTTATTATTGAACATTTATTTTTTATTTCAAAACTTTTTTGAAAAAAAAATTGGCTTTTGATATGTGAATAAATCCTACTACTTCCGGTCCTGAAGTTTTTGCACTTGAAAAAAAAAAGTTGGGACATATTGCCCAAATAATTGGTCCGGTACTAGATGTAGATTTTCCCCAAGGAAGATGCTTAATATTTACAATGCTATGGTAGTTAAGAGTCGAGATACTGTTGGTCAACAAATGAACGTGACTTGTTCTGAAGTACAACAATTATTAGGAATTAGTCTAGTTAGAGCTGTAGCTATGAGTGCTGCAGATGGTCTAATGAGAGGAACGAAAATGGTTGACACAGGAACTCCTCTAAGTGTTCTAGTAGGCGGAGCAACTCTAGGACAGATTTTCAACGTGCTTGGAGAGCCAATTGATAATTTAGGTCCTATAGACACTTGTACAATATCTCCCATTCATAGATATGCGCCTACCTTTATACAATTAGATAGAAAATTATCTGTTTTTGAAACATGAATAAAAGTAGTAGATCTTTTATCTCCTTATTGTCCTGGAGGAAAAATAAGACTTTTTGGTGGAGATGGAATGAGCAAAACAGTACTGATTATGAAATTGATCAATAACATTGCCAAAGCTGCTGGAGGTGTATCTGTATTTGACGGAGTAGGTGAGCATACTCGTGAGGGAAATGATCTTTATATGGAAATGAAAGAATCTGGAGTAATTAATGAACAAAATATTGTAGAATCAAAAGTAGCTCTGGTATATGATCAAATGAATGAACCGCCGGAGCTTATATGAGAGTTGGTTTAATTGCCCTAACTATGCATAATATTTTCGAGATGTCAATGAACAAGATGCACTTCTATTTATCGACAATATCTTCCGCTTCGTCCAAGCAGGATCTGAAGTATCTACCTCTGTTGTGGGTTATCAACCCACTCTTAGTACTGAAATGGGTTCTTTACAAGAAATAATCACTTCTACCAAAGAAGGGTTCATAACTTCTATTCAAGCAATTTATTTACCTGCAAACAATTTAACGGATCCTGCCCCTGTTACCACATTTTCACATTTAGATGCTACTTCTGTACTATAAAGAGGATTAGCTATCAAAGGTATCTATCCATCAGTAGATCCATTAGATTCAACCTCAACTAAGCTCCAACCTCGAATCATTGGTGAAGAACATTATGAGACTGCACAACGAGTTAAACAAACTTTACAACATTACAAAGAACTTCAAGACATTATAGCTATCCTTGGCTTAGACGAATTATCCGAAGAAGATCGCTTAATCGGAGCAAGAACACGAAAAATTAAGTGTTTCTTATCACAACCTTCCTTTTATTTGGTAGGTAATATCGATGAAGCTACTGTGAAGATTTATGAACTTAGAAATGGAGAACAATTTGAAGAAATGACTTTGAATCTTTGTTACTGACGTCCAATCGAATTGTTTAGGATTCAAAAATGAAGGAAATAATTCCACCTACTAACAGTGGACAAATTGGAGTATTACTTAATCATGTGCCTATTGCTTCAACTCTAGATATAGGTATTTTGAGAACACGTCTAGACCAATTATTAACAATGGCTCTGATGGGTTGCTAGAATAAACAATAATGAGATCATTGTTTTAGTAAATCTAACTCTTAGATGGGCTAGAGCACGAGTAGAAGCTATCAATGTGATTTCATAAGAAGTTGATGCGTCTGAATATCCGAATACAATAAAAATAAAAAAGAAACAGTAAGAAAAATTAGAAAAAATGAATAATTAGAAAAGTATATTAGATACCAAAGTCAAAGGTATCTAATAAGTTCGAACTACACCTTACCTACTATTGGATTTGAACCAATGACTCCTGCCGTATGAAAGCAATACTCTAACCACTGAGTTAAGTAGGTAATTTATGACTCCCCCTCAAAAAAAAAGAAGAATACTCATCTATCAGATCAATTGATTATAAATGTAATCTTACTGATAAACAATACCAACGCAATATCCATTCAAGGGATTCGATCATGTAATAGTTATCTTGACAAGAAATTAAATTATCTTCATACTATGATAAAATATGTATCAAAAGCACAAGGGCTGTAGCTCAGTTAGGTAGAGCACCTCGTTTACACGAGCGCCAATGTTTTTTTTCAGAGGAGTTCATCTTGTAATCAAGTTTATCTTCTAGTAAGAAATCGGTGTCTTACTCCATTTTAATGAACAAAACAAGAGAACACTAGCCTGACAAAGGGTTTAGCCATAAAATCGAATCCATCATTGATTTGAGATATTGATAAGGTGAATACCCACTTTTCGTCAATGCTAAACATAAAGGGTAGAGGGACCTAAAAAAGATTCTCTTTTCTTCCTATCTTATGAACTTTAAGGTGTATGAAGTGTCATTTCTTATCTTCTATTTTAATTTTAGTAGGTAGATAAAGAATCTATTTAACTTAAGTTAATCTAGGCAAAAAACAAACCTACTTTAAGATAATCCTTTTTTTAAAACACTTTGGTAATGATCTTAGATTATAATACAAATATAAAAAAAAAAAGCATAACATAATTTTTTATATATATATATATATATATATATATATATATATATATAAATTTCTGTTTCTAAAATAAGTTTAAAGATAAATTTGTCTCGATGTACCACACTATAAGTGTAATAGAATAATGAAAACAAAAATATATAAGAGAAAGTGAATTTATATTTATAACTTTTGTTTGATTTAAAAAAACAAATCAATGTGAATAAGATTGGCAGTTTTAAATTACAATTCTTAAAAGGAGTAATTAAAAGCAAAATGTACAATCGACTCCACTGGGGATCGAACCCAGAATCTCTAGTTCCGTAGACTAGCGCCTTATCCATTGGGCCATGGAGTCTTATGTGATGAATAAAATAACTTAATTAAATTTAAATTCAATAATTTTAATACATCATTTGAAAAACAATTTGGTGGTTCTCCCTGCTTGTTTAATCAGTCGCTTTCCTTATTATTTGAGCACTGATATTTCTTTAGACAATTCATCTTTTCCAAACATTTATTTCATAAATTTTTTAATAATAAAATAATTATAAATATCAAATTTTAAATTATTATTTTTATATTTATAAAGTAGTTTTTAGAGGATTGTTTTTATTATAAGGATTGTCTATCTAACATTTTCTTATTTAATTCTTAATAAATTTCAATCAACATTAAAGTGTGTCAGATGTTGTTAGCATTTTCTTAACAATAGAAGAGTTGGGCAATGGAAGCATAGATGTTCATCAATATGTTCTATTTTTTCTTGACACTTTACAATATGAACAATGTGTTTCACAAATCACTTTAATAGTTTATAAGTTAGTTTCTTAGCTCATAAGTTGATTTCATCAAATTAATTGTTTCATAAATAAGCTTTTTTTTTAACTATTTTTAATTATTTTCATAACCTGTTATAACTACTTTCTTTTTTCACTTTTATTCTCATAAATTTAGTTTAACTTTTTTATTATTACTTTTCAATTTGTTTTTTATTATTTAAAATTTATCAACTAACTTAAGAGTCTTAACTTTTAACCTATATATCTTCGATGAATTATAATTTTTCAACAAACCTATATATTAGTTTTATGGATAATCTGTTATACTGTATGTATGTCATATTTTTTCATTACTCTAAAAGGATTAAACTATATTTTAAACAGAGATACTATTGGGAAAAATCAATAAGTTTTACTTTTAAATTTTAGAACATGAATTATTTTTAAGAAATATAAATCAGTAAAATATGAGAAGGAAAAAAAGTAATACTTAATGACTTTAAAGTCCACTGTGAAGTAATATTAAATTATTATAACATATTTTGAGTTACTGCATCCTCATACAGGTGTTTGATTACAAAAGGAGTGTTATAAAAATAATGTCACATATTTTAAGAGAGAAATTATTACTCATGCATGTCCTCGGAAATAGGTGTTCTGATGCTGTCTATGGTTCATTAAAAATTAATACTGGAACATTAAATGGTATTTTCAGACTCAGATATAATAAATGATAAAAACTAATATTACTTCACCAGTTCAATTTTTGTATAATAAATGAATACAACAATTTATTTAGTTTAATTAAATAGTTATATATTTCCAAAATGATCACAAAAAGCATTGTTTGGTTTGATCCATGAGGAAGATCAACCCTTATGATAATCTACTCCACAACTGATGCATTACAGATAACTAAAGCCACAACAGATACAAAAAACTGATTATTACAAACAAAGTATGAAATACATAATGCATTATTAATGGAATGAAAACTACAAGAAGAAAGGGAATTGGATCTGATTGTGTTTAGATAGATAAACATGATAAATTCTAGGGGCACTTAGGTTTGTTGCCATGAGTAATCATGTCTGTGTAACACTTCCCACACACCTCTCTGTTTCCATAAGTGCCTGGAGGAACACAGTTGCACCTTGAACAGCATGTGCCGCAAGCTCTCGTGCAGATCTTTGGCCTTGAGTGCAGACTGCACCTCACCCTGCACCTCCCTCCACAATCTTCCAAACACACAACAACATATTTCATTCATTCTCTGTAACAACTCCTTTCACAATTTCAAAAGAACAACTCACTACAACATGTCTAAGAATAAAAAATAAGGTTGCTGAGTTATAATATCAACAACATTATAGTACAAAAACTGTTTTTCTAAAACTTGTGTATTTTCTCTGTAAGTTGATTTCTATCTAGAAGCAAGAACATGCAATATTTTGGGGGTAGCAGAAACACATTTAAGAAAGAAAACGAGGTGAGGTGAGGTGAGGTGAGAAAGAATTTAGAAACCATACCCAGAAATGACAAAAGCTTTCTATTGGGTCCTTTCACGAGCTGTAAAAAACAGAAGCCAAAGCAGTGAAAACAGTAAAGACATGCAAAGAACTTAGTATACAAAGGTGGCTAAACGACATGCAACCTCGGAATGGGTGAGGTGGCCTTCAAAGTTGACATTAGAAGCAGCATACGTCACCTGCAAATTAAGCTCAAAGCCTAAAAAATTAAGGCAAATGTGTTGTAATTCTATATGATAGAAAATTTTGTAATGAAAGAGCAAGGATGCATGTTTCGGAGTATCTTTCATCTTACATTTGGCATGCAGAAGAATGGTGCAGCCATGAGCAGCAACAACAGTAAAGTCTTCCTTCTGTTCTCCATTTTGTAAGCACTATCTTGCAAGTGAAGTGAGAACTGAGTACGAGGATGAGCACCCCCTCTCAAAGCAGAGGCATGTTTTATAATAGTGTCGTTGATTCTCCCTCCTATTGCAATTACAGTGACACCCTTTCTTTTGTCATTAATGTGAATTACTTTTGGCTGTGTCATCCAAATGTTATTTAATGGAAGAGTTTGAGGGACAATATTACTATGCCTTTGGTGCATTAACATGATAACTTTTACTTCAAGATGGAAATATAATCTATTATTGTTCAACAATGCATCTTAGGACCACCTTTGGGTTTCATTGTAGTGACGTTTACAATTTGGACCATACAATTTAAACCTCTCCTCAGTTCAATACAAAAGTCATATCTATAATTGATTTTCAAAATCTAATTACAAAATGAAAGCAATAATTTATGAAATCTAATTGATTTTTTTATAATACAGTAAAGTTGAAATATAATAAAATATAGACAGATGGCTTTTAAAAAGGATGGAGCATGCATGCATGAAGAGGAGAGAGACATATGTACAAAAATTCAAATGGACTTTGTGCATGACAGATGTGGGAGAGAGATATAAACGTAACTCCTCTTGAAATGCCCAAGAATATGTCGGAAAGAGTGTCAGAGAACTGCTCCATCTTCATTCACTATCCTTGCGGTCCATTTACAAATAGCTACCTGTCTATTTATGTCATTCATTAATGTTTTTGTCTTTACATAAATACATGATAATTTTTTCTTAAACAATGCCAAATTTGTTTTAGAATGTAAATATGTTCAAATTGTGACAGTATTTTGTGGTTAAATTTTTGTAAGATTTGTGTTATTCAGTTTTAATGTTAAGATCATTATTTTGGTACTAATTAATTGATATCAATCAAATATTTGATGAAGAAATGTGATGAAATCAACCATAAATATGATAATATATTTTGTAAGTGTAATTCTTTTTAACAAATTGATTTTATAAGATTAAATTAAATACATTTTTATTTTTATATAATAATAAATTTTTTTATATGATAATAAAGTCAATTATTAAGATTTTTTTTTAAATCATAGGATGAAAAATCATTCTTAAATAAAATTTTATATACTTAAAAATATCATATAATATATATATATATATATATATATATATATATATAATCTCATCTTATTTTAATATTTGAGTTAAATATCTCAAAATTTAAATAAAAATACAAAAAATTAAGATAATTTATTTCATTTTATTTGTTAATTTTAAATATAAATTTAAAAAACCAATTTTCTATGTTTATATTTTTTTAATGAATGTCTCTCGGGGGTAAATATAGTTTAGTATAGGAAGAGATGGTAAGTAAGAAAAAAAAATTATCTTGTGAGATGTTTTAATTAAGAGTAATAGCGGATTTTCATGAAAAAAATGTTGAAGGTGAAAAGAACATAGCTTTCCTCTTCCACTGGTTTGAAATGTTTCTTCATTCTAGGTTTACTGAAGAAGGTTTATCGAAAAAGATAACTTTCCGTAGGTCTGCACGCGTTCGTCTGTCTGTAAAAAAAAATTTATAATTTTTTATATAATCTGATTTTACTTTAGATTACTAAATTAATGTGTTAATTTTTAATTTTATTTAATTTTTTAAAAAATTATTAACTTGTTTATATAAAAATGATTAATTAAAAATATTTTATAAATTTAAATTATATTAATAAAATTATTTAATATATAAATAATAAAATAAAAATTTATTTAATCATAAAATAAAAGTTAGTAACTTTTTTATATAAAATAATAATTACTTTTAATTAGTAGATCATACAATAAATATTAAATATTTTTTATATTTAATTTAATAAATGAATATTTTATCCAATTAATTTATAATATATAAATTTTTAATAAAATAATAATAATATTATTATTATTATTTAAAAAAAATATTTTTATTTTATAAAACGAATATGTCTCTAAACCTAGATATTTCACGTAAACGATAACTTATATTATTGGGATTGAAATAAAATTGATTTAATTTATTTCACACATTTTATAATTTAACCAGACGTATCTTTTAAAAATTTTCAAATCAATTAATCAAACTAACATACAACTTTTGGACATGAAAGATGTTCAAACCTCTTCCTCCAAGATGCACAATTTGGATCCATATAGATCATGCATGGCCCCATTACCCATTATCAATGTCAGAAGCACTACATTAGAACTTGATTGTTAAGAAGGAAGAAGAAATAAGCACGTCAGTGTGTACCTAATACTCCTTTTGCCATACCCAACAATCCTTTTCTTCTACCTGTGGATACCATTTAATTCTACCATTCTTTTTTTTTTTTCATATGATAAAAAAAATAAAATTAGGTTAAATAGGTAATTAGTCCTTTTATTTATTAAAATGTTTCAATGTATGTTTAATTGATGTCAATTTAAAACTACCGTTATGTATGTTTTGACTCCATTGTATTAGATGCTTAGTTGGAATTTCAGTTCTTATGCAATTAGGTGATTGGCTATAGTTACACACATCACATTAAAATTGCAGGAAGAAAGGAATAGGGCCGCAGATGTGTTTAGGGTTTGAAAATTGAGAGTTTGTGCAAATGGGTGAGGGAAAGTGAGAGGATCTATAATGAAAGAGGAGGTGAGAGTTCCATTTGTGACAACAGTGGGGGTTTAGGGTTCCAACCGCCGTTGTGTGAGATTGATTATGACGAAAAAGGAGGAGGTTGATTCCATTTAGGGTTTGTTACGACATCATCGAGAAAGTGAGTTGTTTTCGACGACAAGGGAAGGGGACCTGCGACGACAGCGAAGTCGAGCACGCGGAAAGGACTACCTACGACTCATTTTCTATATTCACGTTTTCCCTAACCCATTTGTACAAACTTTCAATTGTTCATACCCTAAACACATCTGTGGTCCTTATTCCTTTCTTTCTACAATTTTAATGTGACATCACAAACCTGTAACGTAACTATAATCAATTACCTAACCACATCAGAACTGATACTTCAACTAGACATCTAATATAACGGAGTCAAAACATAAATAACGGTAGTCCAAAATTGACATTAATTTCAATATTCATGTCTAAATTAAAAATTTTTAAAATTTTGAGATCATATTGAAACATTAAAAAAAATAAAGGAACTAAATTACCTAATTAACAAAAATAGAGTGAAATATGATAAAATACCCACACAATTTATGCCTCAAATTAATCATTTATTTCTACTTCTATATCCCCACGTCACACTGACAAAATTTAACAATCTCACTCTACTTAAAGGTATAGGAGTTTTTTTTTTTTTTTGCATTGCTTATTTTTTCAACTCCTTTCTTACCATTCTCTAGGCACTAGACACTTTCATTCATATGATAAGCTAATGAATATAAATAAATTAGTTTATTAGTTAAAAAATAACAATTATCATGATCATATTCACATATTTATTAAAATTGGATATAAAAAAAAAAAGAATTAGACATATGATCTCGACATCAACTTTGAAAGTTAAAAAAAAAAAAAAAAAAAAAGGCAAAGAAACCTTCATCTTCGATTGACAAGGATACAGTAATTACAGTCTGTAGATATTGTTCAACAATCAAATTCACCGATTGTTTTGATAGTGGTTGTTCTGGTTCAGTACGAATGAATGAAAGTGATGAGTGAAGCATGGAAACGGGACCAGTATAACCACTTGCACAGTCACTGATGTTTCTGTGTGCCCGTTTTTTCATCGTTTCACCTGTTGCATACCTAAAGGACATTAATTAGCTCCAACGTCGTATGTCGGTTGGGTGAATTTCAACAAAATTTTGTTCGCTTCCATTTCTCGTACCATACAAAACTCTATCGTGTAGCTTTTATTGCAGTAGATCCCATAATTATCTTGTGCAAGTTTTCCATCATTGATAACGAAAGTATTATGATATTCAATGATCATTATTTACATGAATATGTTTTCTTATATTCGTATAGTGTAAAGTCGACACAAAGTTAAGTTATGTACATTTTTTTTATCCAATAAGACAGAATAAAATTGTGAAATCGAGACAAAGTTAATTTAAGAACATAGCATCTTCTTCTTTAATTAAATAAAATACTTTTAAAAATAAAATTATGATGGAAAAAATGGACATATCTTGAATTTTATTCAAATACTGCATAAATCTTAAATAATCACGAGAGTATGCTTGATAAAAAAAATTCAGGATTGGAGGAGTATTCGTGATAATTATATGGTAAAACAAATTTAATATGCATTAAAAAGAAAAGAAAAATCTTCTGACAAAGAATTTGTTGAACTACAGATCATAGATAAATATTAGAAAGGATCTGGATTTGTTAAATAAGAATGGTATGAAAGAGCAAATGTTGCATGTATTGAGGCCCCAATGGCAAGCACATCTTCGTCAATGGAAAAGAAAGGACTATGAGCAGAATATATGGATCCACTCTTCTCATCTCGTGTACCCACAAGAACGAGTGTGCCAGGTACTTTTTCCAAGTAAAATGCAAAATCTTCACTCCCAGTGAAGAGGGGAGCTAATTTTATATTATCTTCTCCAACAATCTTACTAGAGACTTGGCGTGCTAGGTCGTATACTCTTTCGTCGTTTGTGGTTGGAGGGATTAGTGGATGTTCATTACCTAAGAACTCAACCTCAGCAAAACACCTATGTACTTCTGCCTGGCCTTTAATAACCTACATAAAGAATTTAATTTTGGATCTAAAATCACTTTGAAATCAAACATATGACATTTATCTAAAATCATGTTAACGTGTATTTCGATATGATGTATCAGGTCACAGTAGGTTGATAAAACAATATGAAATGGTCTTAACTAAACAATACATTTACCTCTTCTATCCTTTTCTTGAGTCCATAGAAGCTTTTTTTGCTGAATGCTCTGTAAGTACCTCCAAATGTAGTTGAATGAGGGATGATGTCATGAGAAGACCCTGCATTGATCATGGCCACAGAAAGCACCTGCCAAACTAAGATATCTGTATAAAGTTTTATAGAACTAATAAACCACCAAGAGAATCATGCATTCTAATTAATGTGCCAAAATTTTCATTTTGCAATATTTTTTTACTATCGAATTTGAGAATTTCACTCCACCTGAGAATCCAAAGGATCAACCTCCCTTGAAACAATGTTTTGCAAGCTAATAATTGATGTTGAAGCAGCCAAAATTGGGTCAAGACAATGCTGGGGAACCCCTGCTAAACCCCCTTTTCCATTGATCTTAGCTGTGAAGCTTCCACACCCTGCTAAAAATTCTCCTGGTCGTGATGCAACAACACCAGTTGGATACACTGACACCAAATGCAATCCAAGAATAGCCCCAACATCTTCAAGCACTTTTTCTTGGATCATATCTTTTGCACCTGTGCCTTTTTCCTCAGCTGGTTGAAATATTAGAACAACAGTAGTCTGCATATGAAGTAAAAAGTTTTCAGTGGAAGAAAGATATAGAATAAATCATAAATTGCTAATTTATATTTTCTAATCACCCCTTTACTTGTAACATGTCTTTCATTTCTTGTAATATCTTTGCAGCGCCGAGTAACATGGCAACATGTGCATCGTGTGCACAAGCATGCATTTTTCCATCTACTTTGCTCTTATGGTCCCAATCAACCAATTCCTGTTGCAAGTCAATCTAACCATCAATTACTTTTATCCTAAAATATATCATTGGTAAAGAAACTTATTCTCTCATTCTCAACTTAGTACAACTCTATAAAGCATTGCAGTGATATATATTCATATAAAACTATCAATTTCTTTGATCTTATTTAATTTCAAATGGGTGTTTGCAATATAAGGAAAAACAAATTTCATTCTTTTCTTATGTCTCAGAACTTTTAAAATATTTATTCTTGTTACATTTTTTTGAATTCAAAATAATTCTAATATTTTTGTGAGAATGTAGTTTTTATAATTAATAAATATTTAAATTAATAAACTTGAGCAATTAAAAAGAATATGTATAATGAAAAATTAGTATATATTTTTCATAAAATTTAAAATATTTATTATATTCCAGAATGTTTTTGTATGAAAAAAATATAATCTATAAAAATTAAATGATTTCACCCATTAGAACATTCAGGATGGATTGAGACTAGAATTTCAATATATATCTCAAATTAAAGTTATGATTACACTTTTCCAATAGAAAAACAGTACTCCAGGTTGTTGTACCTAGGAGACTTCCAAAATAATTATCTTGCTATTGTTTCCTTTTTCTAGTTCTGGAAACAATCCCCAGTGACATGATCAACAGGCTCTTTCAAAATTAATAAATGAAACTTTCTGATTCCCGTTTTATTTTGGTTCAGTAAAATTAAAAAGTTGCATGTAATTCTCCTATTCATACAGGCACCAACACCCAACTCTAGAAGATTACAAACACAACTAAACTTCCTTTCTTTTACAATTTGCAAGGATCCATTTTCTAATTTGTTTAAATTACAAAATCAACAACCAAAACCAGAACTTGATATCTACAAACATGAGCATGCATACATGTCCATCACATGTGTCCATGTGGCATCAAAGAAGAAAAGTTTGGAAGAACCAAGTAAGAAACAGAACAGAGGCCTTAACAGAAAAACACAAGACTGGTTTGTAAATAGTAACACTAACCTGAATTGGCAAAGCATCCATGTCTGCTCTAAGAGCAACAAAAGGAGGAGACCCAGAACCAATTTTTGCAACCACACCCGTCCCCGCCACAGGCCACTTGTAAGCAACACCCAGCTGGTCAAGCTCATGCCTGATGAGAGCACTAGTCCTGAACTCCTCATATGCAAATTCTGGGTGTTCATGGATTTCCCTCCTTATTCTCTTCATCCATTTCACCGTGCTTGGACTGTTAGCTAGCTCAAGAATCTGCTGCTTCAGAGAAGAACTTTGATTGGAAAACTCATTGATTGAAGGAGTTTGAAACGTGAAAGAGAAGCAGGTGGGTATGAACAGGAAGAGTAGGAGAATAAGTCTAAGATGGTCCATGTGTACAAGTGGTAGATATGAAGAGGGTGAAAATTGCAAATTGCAAAATGATTGTTATATATATATATATATATATATATATATATATATATATATGAAAAGCCTTGACTAGACTGGATTTTATTTTGTGCCACCTTAGAGAAAATCCGACCATGCTTCTTAGAATTGGTTGGCAAATCAAAACTATTGCTTTATTCGGGTAAAAGGTTATCTGGTTGCGTTAGTGATTTCGTGTCCTTACCGAACCGTATGTGCATTTTTTATGCCAAACTTTTTCTTTTCTTTGTTCTCAGTTGAGAGAGAATAAATTTAGTTTAGTTTTTTTTTTTTTTTCAACCAACTAGTTTAGTAGCTTCATTCAAAGTTCAGGTTAACAATTAAGAATTGCGTTAGTTGGAATTCACATGGACTGAATGAAAATTTAACTTAAAATAACTATAGTGGTACCAATTATGTACTCTTCTTTCTTCAGTTCATTTATTGATTATTGAAAAATAGTAATGTTTATTATTATTATTATTCTTAATACACATGCAATAATTACATAATACATTAATTGAGTTTAGTAACAAGGAGTAATTGTTTGTTCCAATCCCATGGAATGACAATCCAACACCTTGATAGAAAGCTGTGCAATATCCTCTTGAAGATTGGTGTTAGTTAATAGGATGTAGCCTATGCTTGAAAGTATAGCTGCTCCTCTCCATAGCAGTTTCATAGCAAGCAGAAGCACAGGGAATACTGTTATGGCTCTTACAACTTTAACATTCTTTTCTCTGAAATGGAAGAAAGGAATTTGGAGAGCTTTAGGCCAAATAGGGGGGTATTAGACCAGTGAATCCTTTGTTCCCCTGTTACATCTTCGTGTTATGCATGTTAATTGAGAAAAAGGTGCAGGGTAAAAAAATGGCGAGAATTTCTAAATATAGGCAAAGGTCTCTCACTTTTTTTAGATGATTTTTCAATATTCAAAGGGGAAAAGTCTTCTCAGCTCAGGCTTGTTCAACAAGTTATAGAATACATTTGAAGGTTTCAAGTCTTACTAAGGTGAACATTCAAAAATCCAAGTTTATGGCTTGTAGAAATATTTCAAGAATTAAGACTGATAATTCACCAACATCATCAACTTTAATCATACTATAAAGTTTTTCCCTCTTATGTTTGGAAGAGTAACAAACTAAATTGTAGATTTGGAAGAATTACTTTGGTCCACTCAGTTTTAGATGAGTTGATGAGTCCAGGATGGGTTGAATATCATTAAAGGAATTTGATGAGACCCAAAGAAAAATAAAAGAGAAAGAGAAGAAAAGAAGAAATATTAAAAAAAGCAAGACAAGGGGAAGAGTTATTTTCAATTCCTCTGGTGAAATGATTACAAAATTGCTACCCACAGAAGAATTGTTTATTAAAGAATAATGGCAAAAGCAATTTAGAGAAAAGACATAAATAAACGAGAACCAAACGTGATGTTGGATGGAGTCAACAACCAATTGATTAATGATAAAATTATCTTTCATTGATATTGATTTAGATACTAAGTCTTTTAGTATTGTATCAATTTTAAAAGACATTTCTCTTTAAATAATGTTACCTGTGAAGAAGATGAGTTTTATGTTTAAATTTATTTTATCTAATTTTCTTACTATTTTTATGACATTGACTTAGTTTTGAAATTTGTAATTATTCTATTGATTTTTTTTATTGTTTGATATTTTGTGTAGATGGGTATTTAATTTTGGATAAAAATTTATAAACCCATTACTAATATAATATTTATATTTTATAGGATTCAAATCTCAATATAAATTATTATAGTGTTTCTATAAAGTATTTTTGTAATGTTTAAGAAATTCAAATACATTAAATTGATTTTTTTTCATTTAAAATGATTTAATTTTTTAAATGATTTATTTGGACAAGACAATTCAAATTTATTAAATATTATTTCTTTGTTTAGATAAAATATTTTAATTATTATAAAATATAAAATTTATCAAAATTATTATTATTATATTGTGAATTAGATTCAACTAATAGTATTTGACACTTATTTATATGGATATGGTTGGAATGAGACAATTATGAAAGGCTAGATTAAGTAAAGTGAAATCAAAATAATATATGTGACCATCAAGACAAATTGTATTAGGTCAGAAAGGTTGAGTCAAGTCCAATTGGGATGACTCTCGTTGTGTTGGAATTAATTAGGTTGGGTTAGGATAAATCAAATCATGAGTCAAGTACTCAAGTCGTAAATGAATAGAAAATACTAAGATTTGAGAAGTTTGGGTCAAACCAAGATAAAATGTGTCAAATTATAAGGGATCATATCAAGATGAATCAGGTTAGACTAAGATAAGTCAAAGTGGGTCAGACTTACTTTAGATAGTTTGGTCAAACCTATTCGAGATAGGGATGACAAAACGGGTCAGGCCCGACGGGCCGGCCCGCCAGCCCGCCATAATATGGCGGGGCGGGTTGGTATTTTCAGCCACCAGTCAGCTTTGGCCGGCCGTGCAAGCCAGTCAACCGGCGGGCCAACCGCATGGATGGGCGGGCCGACCACGCCCGCCTAATTAATAAAAAATAATTTTTATTGTAATAAAATTAATTATAAAGATAATATATAAAGTTAAAAATTTTAAAAAGAGAATTAAAAAAGTTTCACTCTCACGAAAACACAACATTCTCTCATGTTCATCCTAAGCACTGATTATTTTTATCCTTATGACTTGAATTAAAGGTGTAAGAATTACTCAACCAAGAATAATGTGAAGTTTTATCAAATAAAAAAGATATAAGTATTTGAATTTTTCAATATAAAAAATATAAATTTTATAAGTTTTAACGTTTTATATATATATATATATATATATATATATATATATATATATATTGTTATTATTTATTATTATGTAAATTTTATTATTGTTCTAAATTATAATTTCTTAAAATAATGAATTGATTTATATTATTAAATTGAAATAATATATATATATATATATATATTGAATTATTGACAAACAAACAATAATCTTATTATTAAATTTATTAAAAAAAATTATTTTTAAAAAATAAATTATTTTTTTCTAAATTATGACGGGCGGGTCAAGGTCTACAGTCAGTCATGACTATAACGAGTCAGCTACGCCGCCGCCACTGGCGGGACGGAGCTAAACGCGAGGCCGGCCCGTTTTGCCATCCCTAATTCGAGAAGGGTTACATTAAGTTAGAACAAATAAGGTTGGGATATGTTGGACTAGTTCTAGATAGGTTGGGTAAGATCAATATAAGATGGACTAGATCGAGGGTGATCAAGTTAGGATGGTTCGATGATAGTTAGGATACATTGGACCTAAATTAAGTCATGTTTATCTCGGTCAAATTGGGTTAACCCGTATTAAAACGGGTCGAGATGAATCAAAAATATCTCAATCTATATTAAATAAAAAATAAAATATTAAGAAAAAAAACATAAATTTGAAAAAATTAAAAATAGATACAAAATTTCAAATTCTTACTTTTTAGGTAAAATTTAAAATTATTTTATCTTAACTAATCAAAATACTCTCATCAATTTTTAGAATTTTAATTACTTTTCAAATTTTATATCCAAACAATAAATTTTGTCATGAAATATTTCAAATATTCAATTAAAATGAATTACTTTATTCTCCATAATTTTCTTGTATTTTTATATACTTACCTTTGAGTTCATTCAACACGTAGAAACTAATTTTTTTTTTAAATAGAATATAAGAAACTTAAATCTTCTTATAAATAAAAATGTAGAATATATATATATGTATATATATATATATATATATATATATATATATATATATATTTAAAATAGAATATATGAAACTTAAGTAGCTTTAGAAAGTATTTTTGGATGCAAAGTTAGTCACTAAAACAAGGGTCTTGATTGGATAGATTCAGCACCAACCAAACCAAACAGTCCATAAATTCTTCACATTCCATTATTGATGGCTCATAGCTAGGATTATATTAGTTTTTATACTCTCATTTATAGCAAAATTTTAAGTTTTTTTTTTTTCCTCAACTGTGAAGTTTCTTAAGGAGTTAGTTCGTCTTTTCATAAAATCTGACCTTCGATTCTTCTAGTTTCTAGTGATAGCAAATATACATACCTTTCAATCATGAAAGTGACTGTTTTTCATTTTCTAACTTGTTTATATATATATATATATATATATACACATTAATATTACAAATTCATGTTTTTTTTACACAGATTTATTGAAGTGATTCATCGTATTGTTGTACGTGGACCCAATTGTGGTATCATTTGAGAAATTTCAGTGAATGTATTGAAAAATAGTTAAATGCAAACATTAATTGGACGTATATTAACAAACGATATATATATAGAGGTTTCATAATCTATTAGAAATCAAGATATTGGAATTGAAATATTATATTTGAATTTTATAGTTCATTTTGATCAAAATTATTCGGATATAAAATGATTTCATATCTAATTTTTAATTTTTGAACTTGTATAGCTTATTATAAATTTGTTCAATTAAGAATCTAATTATTTTCTCTTCACTCTTAGATATTTATATGTTATTTATAGGGTTTAATTTGTTCTAAAATATTTATGATCAAAAATAGGTTTTGACGCATTTTTCAAAGACTTTTTCTATGATTTTTGAGTTGTCATGAAACCTTATTGTCTCCGAATTAAAAACATGTGTTTGTTGAATTTGTATTGTACCAAATTCTTATTTGAACCATGTTGTTGGATAGATTTTAAGTTTTGAATCCATAAATAGAAACTTAACTATTTAGGGTTTAGGATAAATAAATAATATAATTATAATCTATATTATATATAAAAAGGATTTTTTTTAAACCGTTTTTTATTATCATCTTTTAATTATTTTTTAGTATCATCTTTTATAATTATTTTTATGATATGTTATTGATAAGAAGAAGAAAAATAATATAAGAAAAGCAATCATACATTTAGA